AAAACAAGGCAAAATTTATCCCTTTAAGAACATAATCATGAACTTAAAGGTTTTATTTATTTATTTATTTATTTGCTATGATACATATGAATGTTTGTTTGCTAGTTGACGCTATTCATGGGAAAGCAAACATGATCCATTATGCTACACAAATTTTGTAAAGAGTTATGAATAAATTATAAAATTTCAAAGAGATATGTGAGGTATAATATGAAACTTATGAAAGTCTAAGAAGATTGAAAGTTATAAGAAAGTCCTATATCACTTGGGCCATTCCCGGATAAAAAGTTAAGGAAAATAAGTCGATGGGAGCGTTAGGAAAAGTAAACCCGGCAAATCCTCTATAAGAACAAGTTCAGTCCCGATAAGCAGACTATTACCCAAAAGTCTTATGGCCAAAAATCAAGTACATCAATAACATGCTTTTTCAATATGAATGGAAAGAATTTTGTGTGAACAACATTAGCATGTTACCTTTCATTCTAAAAAATTTTAGTTATAGCATTAAGTTGTACATCATCTTTGTTATTACCTAGAAGAATAACACATTCTAAATTTGCTATTCTAGTTCCTATTGTAGAAAGCTCAACTTGCAATATTCATCAACAAAGTAAAGAAGCTAAATTGTTGTTGAGAAAGACAAAACTAATTATATGGAATGAAGCTATAATGGTTCCAAAAAAAATTTGAGACATCTTATAAAAAGCTTAATAGATATTATGAGATGTTATGTAGATTTATTGTTGGAGGTAAAGTTGTATTTGGAAGTGATTTTAGATAAATATTACTGGTGTGAATGAAATAAATGATGTTTTATTAATTTGGCAACATTGTCAAATATTAACCATTCATGAAAAACATGTGTCTATAAAAAATAAAATCCAAAAAATCTTAATAGAACAAAACTCCAAAATCTTCTTAGTGGTTATTGGACGTAGGAGATGGAAAACTTGGTAATCCAAACTATGAATACAAAACTAAAAGAAGAAGTACTAGAAACATTTCTTATCACAAGATTTGATAATTGTTGTTTGCAATCTAAACACTAGCAAGTGTACTAGGATTGCAACAAGTAATGAGTAATTTTTAATAACAGAATATCGTCTCCACAGGGAATTTAGATTTCAAGTATCAATTCACAAAATTGTAACCATTTGAGCCATACGAATTTTGGAGGAGAGTTGTAACATACAAAAGCAATAAACCAAGACAATTAAGAATAAAGAAGACTTGCAGAAAAATAGATCAATGAATGCAATGTGAAATTAGAATGTATTGAAAGGTAGCTAGGAATTTACTTCATAAGAATGTCAATATTGATTCAATTATGCTTCTGAAAATTCAAGAACTTGGTTAATTGACAATCAGTTTCACATATCAATAGCCAAAGGTTAATCCCTTAACTCATAGACCCTAACAAGCAACTAAACCACCCTAATCCCTTAGGTGAAGTTCAATTTCAGGTTGTATTAAGACTTAGAACCTTAAGATTGCAAAATTAGGTCTCTTTATCCCTAAGAAATCTCCAAATTTTGATTGCTAACTCAGATCGAAAAATCAAATCCAACTTCCATTGGTAATTGTTCCTCTTTGATGAATCATACGAATTTTCATTCATAGATTGCAAGAAAAGCAGAATTCACAATTCAATTAATCTAAGAACTCAAAATTCAGAAGCAAGATTCAAATCAATACATCAATTCGAGTTCCATAAACCCCTAACTACAAGAAAACTACTCAAACATGGGAGAAGAGAAAGAGAAAGAAGAAGAAGAAGAAGAAGAAAAACTCCAAAAAGCCATGGCCGGAAGCTCCAATCCGATTCCTCTTTGTGGAAGCTTCAAGACTTGACCCCAATCTTCTCTCTCAATCTCTCTCAACGACAATCTAACAGAAAAATGGAAAATAAAACTAAACTCCCAAAAATCTGAGCGCATCTGGTATTTATAGAAATTCTCATATTTGCGCATTATCACTTTTGTGAGAAAAGTAACTACGCAGAATGTTTATGGTTGCGCGTTAACACTTTTATGAGAAAAAGTGGTCACGCGCAACTTTCCTGATATTGAGAGCTCTCTGAAACTATCACTCTTGCTAATAAAAGTGTCAACGCAGAGTCCAAGTAGTTGTGCGCGATCACTCTTATGAATAAAAGTGACTACGCGCAACTCGCCAAGTTGAAAGCTGTCTGGAACGATCACTTTCGACGACAATAATGGTTACGCAGAGCTTTCCTGATATTTTGCCTCTCTGGAACGCTCACTTTTACTGATAAAAGTGATGACGCCCAGGCTTTCTTCTTCTTTGAACTCTAGAGTGATCACTTTTACTGACAATAGTGATCACGCCCAGTCTGCATTTTCTTGTTCTTGTGTTTTTGGAGTCCAAACTTGCTTGTTTCCTCTTCTTTGTCATCAAGCCTCCATTTTCATGAACCTTGCTCGAATTATTCCTTCAAAAACAAGATTAAAAACTTAATTCCTAAGCAAAAATTCCACAATTGCTAAGATAACTACAATTTTAAAGAAAACTTCAATTCATTCTCTTTTTTTGAGTTTTTCTGCTTTCTTCATATATTTTTCTTATCAAATGTATTAGAATTATGCTAAAATATCAGTAAAAATATGGATTCATCAATAATCCATTGCATGCTACAGTCAAAAGGACCTATCTTAATTTACAACCATAATTACAAATATATAGTCATGTTTCCAACTTTCTACTACATTTCTTCTTTGCTTTTTCATTTTTATGTTTTTCTTCTACTTCAAACTCATTCAATTATTCTTTTACATCAAATAAAGAACTTAAATAAAGTCATTGTATGTTTAATGTTTTTATATGATTTTTTTTCTTAATTCATTTTCTTCCCTCTTTTTGTGCTTATAAATTTATTTGCTCTACTAACTCATTTTCTGAGCTCTTTTGATAGGTATACTCTTACTAAATTAGAAAATATCACGACATTGAAGTGTTTAAAGCACTAATTTTAAATATGATACTAATTAATCATCCTACTTACTCTTATATTATTGTGTTTTTTGTTCATTTTGCTTTCGATAAGTTAATTTTCACTTCTAACTATCCTTTCATGGTCAACATGCCTTATTTACTTATCCTACTTAGACTAATAGTAAATCTTTGTTGTAACTCCATGTTTGGTTGGTCCATTCCCCGATTATATAAGTTATAATAAGAGTATATGTTATATTTAATTCGTATTTATTTGGAATAGTTAATAGGCCAACCTCACATAACTCCATGTGTGATAAATTGATATTTTCTTCTCAAAGATTTACTGGATCTTACTCTGATAATTTCCCCCCTTAATCAATTGATCACATGTGTGACTTAGAGCTAAGCATCTTATGTTTCTAAGTTTTGAAGGACACCTAACTTTAATACCTTGCTTGACTTTCTTTTATTCAATAATTGTCACAGTTGACTATACAATGTATATCATTGAAGCTATTTATTCTTTTTAATTTTTATGCGATTGAAATGTATATCATTGACACATACCTTGAACATTGGAATTAACTAGTAATTTTTATGACTAAAAATCGAAATGTTACAAAAATCAATAGAATAAATCTATAAATTTTTAAAAGTAGACCTAAATATTAAAATTAAACATGTGAAATTTGTGATTGTTAACCTTTGAACAAGTATACATCTTGAAAATTGTAAAATTAAGTTTTCAAAACTTTTAGCATTGTTCAATAGATACTATTCAAATAAGTACTAGATTTATCAAATTAATTATTATTGAGAATAACCAAAAAGTTGATGGGATTGTAAAGTATAATAAATCAAAATAGAAAATAAGCTGATGAGGAAGCAAAAGAGTAACGAGAATGCAAGGAAAGAACTAATTATGAATGAGTCTTAGGGTTTTATCTATAAGCTTTTTTATTTTATTTTTTCCCTTTTGTCTTTTGAATAATTAATCCCTAACCATTTAAGTAATCACTTATTTCAATTCTAATTTTAATGATCATGCAATAATTTTTTTTTTCTCATTATTAATATTTCCAATAATCAAGCAAGACAATAAATAGTACAAAAAACATAAATAATCAAAATGAGTTTGTAAACCAATTAGAAACCTTGAATGCCAATTAATCCTCCAAAATCCTATGTTTAATTTATCTCATAAATTCACTAAAATAATCTCTTATCTAAGAATTATTAAGGGTGATCAATTCTTAAAAATAAGACAAATACAAATATAGAAATGTTAAAAACTAATTCACATCATGAGAACTATTATAACATTTAACTATAGATTATTTACACATTCAAATGAAAATATAAACCAAATTATAAAAATAATTTATAATTCAATATTTCAATGAATTATAATCATGACTTTCTTAAAATACACCAAAAGTGCAACTTTCCACATACTCTAACTAAAAACTATGTGAATATATATAAACACTCAGTTGCTAAAATACATCTATTATTTTTTAGAGTATGTCAGCAAGTCATAACCATATTCTACTTAAAATAACCGAAAGTGTAGGTTGCTAAAATACTCCTAAAACAAGATAAAAAGATAAAATTAGTAAAAAATAACAGAAGTAAAATATCCGAGAACCAGCGTGCTAAATTGACAAAATAACAATTTATCATAAAACTACAATTAAATACGGCTTAAACTAAAATAAATTTGTAATTAAACATAATTAAATTCAAAGTATAAAAAAATTGCTGCTGAGACCAATTTAGTAAATTTTAAATTTAAAACAATTATGTTTAGAAATTATACAAAGTTTAATAAATAGAAAGACTCAAAATTTATTTAAATTCTACTCTTACTATACCAAGAAAAAATTATTTTCCCCTAAATATATTAATCATTAAATACACTTTACTTTTATGATTTTCAATTAATTTTAGACATTAAACATGTTGAAAGAAATGTTAAAAAGTATATCTCTAATATTCAAGCAAAAATTATCTGAAGTGTCATCAGATTGAGGTCTACTTGCATAGTCATAAACGATAATCAGTGTGCTAAAAATTCATTCCAACGTTCGCGGTTATAAAGATTTTAGGGACAAGTTGCGGTATCAGCACATATAAATCAAATCTTGTTTTTTTAAAACCAAATTATCTAAACCAGTCATATGAACTAATACTAAAACAAAAAATATAGATACAATCGTGATACGAAGTTGCAGATAAATAAACATGCCCCGTCTAAAGGAACTCTAACCAGCTGCCAAGAGATGACGCGCCAAACATCAGAGCTTACATTAACTCCAAAACATGTCTTGAGAAAACAAGCGACAAGCTCCTCCCTAAACATAGGGAGTGATAATACTCAACTCATTGCAAATGTCAATGACGCAAATTTTCCGAAGTGAACGTTTAAAGACCTAAGCCAACTGTACGGCCATCTCTTCGTCGAAGGCCTGCTGTGTATTGTTTCTCAAGATCCAGCTGGAGTTCCTTCTGCTTCTCAGCGCGCAGTATGTCGTTACCACTTTGGTTGTTGGAATTCTGCTCCACTTTGACTTCACCTTTCATACCCTACAATTTGCCATAGGCACGAGCACAACCTTAGACTCAAACTGTGTTAGTCGGTGAAGAAACTCTAAATGGAGTGAGCGAGTCATTCAAGAACAAGTAAACAATCCCCTCATATTATTAGAGTCAGAATAAAGTAGCTAATCAAACAAAACTCACCATGAGTTTGTTGAATTTCTCTTGCCGCTCACGATCAGAAAACATAGCTGTATCCCAGCGATGGCCAGACTACAACATTTGGCAAGAGCATTATGAAGCAGCAATTGCATTATATGCAGCAAGATGTGAGTGATAATGTGAAAACCCTAGTACAGAATATTGAAAATAAAGCATTTGAATAATTAAATAAAGAGAACTTAGTAGTGGTCCTTTAGTTCCTTTTCATTTAACAATCTGTTTATCTCTGACTTTTAAATTTATTTGATAAGAAATGGTGAAAGAAAAGTGAAAAACAAAATATAACACAAATGCCAAATTCTGTGATTTGTTTTGGTTATACAAATCAAACTGACTCAAGTATGAATTATTCAAAGTCATTTGCAGACTCGTTTCATGTTACGTCCCATGAACCTAGGTGCACCAGTCCAACTCAGTCATGGCCTTGGATTTGGAAAACATATTGTAGGAAAAATTAAAAGGGGCAAAATGGAAAATAGAGAAATTACTTATGGAGAGCAGATTGATATGTACTCTTTCATATAGTGGGAGGTGGGATAAGAGAGAGAGCGTGTCAGTTGTGTTTTTTTTTTTTTTTTTCCGTTAGTAGGGGGCAAGGGTGTGAACCCTTTCTAAGAGCTTTGCTCTGGGTATTGCAGAATTGATTCAGCAGTATTTTCTTCTTCATTAATAATACAGTTCATATCCTTTTGCTTTGGTCTTTGACAATTCATCCAACCTGCCAGATATCAAAGGGGCCCAAAGGAGTTGTATGCCTAAGCAGAGAAAGGGAGTGGAACCAGCCATGGAAGGTCGTTTGAGTTCACTGGAGAATTTAGTTCAAAAGCTAGCTAACATGCAGAAGTCACAAATTGGACTTGCAGAATGAGACATTTTTTAAGGGTAAAAAAAGGAACAGAATATAATTAAATAAGAATAATGAAGTAAAAAGAAAATAAACCAAATTTTTTTATGCTAATATAATATTGACTGTACACATGCATATGTTAGAAATTAACGGTCAAGGTACTGCAATGTATTCCTACACTGTAAATTCAGTGTATGGCGGAACTGGCCATCGCGGGTAAAATTTCAACCCATCTGATTTCAAGTTACCGTTGCTGCTATCTAAATTACAAAGGGCTATTTGCAAAGAAACAGAAGCCAAAATACACTAATGCATTTCATTTCAACTCCCCAATCATCCATAATCTATACCCAAGAAAAAAGCCACAGTATTTTATACCATGTTATATGCAAAGGTTTTATACCATATATATATATAGAGAGAGAGAAAGAGAGAGATAACTATAGATACAATGATACATATGAAGCATATCTACTGAAAACAGTTCTCATTATAAGATTATGAGAACTTCAAATCTGAACCATACAACCATACATGGATGGTCAAGATAAAAAGCTATTTAGTGGTCACATGACCACTTAAAAAGTCAGATGCAGTTTAATTTTAACCTTGACTATTCAATAATATCTAACAGTTTATTTTTATTATTCTCATTCCTACAATAACCAAGTGTTCTCACCTGTGTGCCAAGTCAAATATATATAGAACATACCTCTTCAGTAGGTGTACTCTTTTTGCCGCCCCACAATAGTTTCTTCTTTTGGTCAGTAGTCAAGCAACCAGCCCCAACTAAGTTCCTATTAACTGTCATGCATCAAAATTTCCAGATGAGTACCACATATATGCAAACTTCAACTAAGAATATCATACATACATCCATATACCAAAAGTACAGAAATTTTCAAGAAAAAATAGTATATACCTAATTCAGCAGCTCTCATGGCTGCAATTTTCGCAGCATCTAGATTATTGTCACCATCAAAACCGCTGGTCTTGGTAACCACTAATTTTGCCTTGCTCTCATGAGAAACCTTTGAACTTGTAGTCTTACTTTCATCTGCTTATGTACATGTCATGAAATAAGACAAGAATAAAAATAATATCAACCATCCATACAAAAAATATATAAATACCATCTTTTTCATAATTCTCATCATTGTCAGGATCAAACAACTTTGGTTTCTTTCCAGATGATTCTTTATCTTCAATGCAGATCTCATTGCCTACTTTTCCAGTTTTCCAGTCTTTGTCCTTTCCAATCTCGGTGTCATCGTGTTTTCTTTTCTCTTCCCAGAGAAGGTTTTGACCATTTGACTCCTGTTCACTCTTAAAAGCTTCATTCAGACTAAATTTACCACTGTCTTTTTGTGGACCTAACTCATCTCTTTGGTTCCTTGACTCTGAATAGGAGACTGCTTGGTCACTTCTGTAATTCCCTGAACTTCTGCGAGAATCTCTTCTTTCATCTCGCCCATCCCAGTCCCTTGAATGCCCCTCCCTCTCCACCTTATCATACAGTGCATGCTTTTTGCCAGATGCAGATTTGTTATATGAAGAATCCATATCTTTATATTTATGATGTTCCAAACATGTTTCTCTATGTTTTTCTTTGCTTCTATGATCAGACCTGTCATATTTGTCACGTGAATACTTGTCCACACCACGCTGGTAGTGTTTTGACCTGCTATCACTCTCTTCTCTCATATGATCATCCCTTGACTCATGTCCAGAACGAGATGATAGCCTCTCACAGTATCTATCTTCATCTGCATACTTGACATGCCGAAAGTGACCATAGGAGCTCTTGGATGAATGTCTATCAAAATTCCTAAGAGAATCACTGCTTCTGCCATAGTGACTCCTTCCATACTGTCGGTCTTGTTCCCTGCCATCATACTTCCTTGAATGATGGTGAGAGACTCTAGCCGAATTTTCCTTTACTGCATTTGGACTTGAGCTGTGCTCATGCCTAGGACTACCTGCATACAAAAAGAGCATAGATTTCTTTATTCAAATCTTACTCTGTATCAAGAATAGATTACCATCAGCATTGAATTTGTCACACTATATTATCTTTAAAAGAAATGATTCTGGATCAAAATAATCAATTGGAGATTACAGCACAGGGAATCTATATTACTGCATACCCAAAAGCCAACTGTTTAAAAAACAATAAGCAATGCCAAAGTGAGCAATGAATGGCAATCAATGCATATGACGCAAGAGCTACTACCAATCAACTTAAAGGAACAGAAAACCATTTTAAGTTACTAGGTAGATAAAAGATAAAGACATAGTTAGGCAGCAGTGTAGTTAGAATTGCATGAATTGTGCGATTTGTATCCTGAATCGATACACGAACTTCAGGGTGTGACAAATATCACAATGAGACTACATTTTGACCTTGAATCATTTGCTGAGTCATGTAAATCTCTTATGTATCAAAAGAATTGCAATTTGGAGCTGCACCAAGCAATTCTTGCACAGCAGGTTGGGTCGCATAACCCATATTAAAAAATGCAATTTATGGTTTTTGTTAGAACCGGAAACATGAATAATATCAGAAAACTAAGGGAATAGATCTCCATAGAGCTGAGGAAACCCTCTGAAAATAGCAACGAATTTTAGAAGAAAATATGACAGCTACACAAGCAGTTCAGCTACGCTAGCAAATCTTCCACTAATTTTTCCTTAACCCTTGTTCTCTCTCTTCTCTTATGCTCTGTTACACACCGCCACTGCCCTCTGATTCCAGAATCCCCTCACACGCTGCCTCTGTGCCACCTGTCACAATTCTGTTGGGATTTCCTTTATCCCACAAGAGATAATCCACCTCATGCCCTTTCCTGTTAATCTCTTCCTCCAATCATACATCTGTATGCTACTACTATTTGGCCTAACTTTATCCCTCCTCCTATACATATTTATTACGAGCCTATTCGGTTTTTTTTTTCTATTTTATAATAAAATTGGAGGAAAAGGGCAAAAATCTTCCCCCTCTATGAACCCAAGTCAGAATATTAAAGTTAAGCCCTAGGATTGGCGGATTTCACCTTCAAACTTTTGGACATGTTTATACTTTCAACCTCCACCCACTGCAATGTTTATACTTTCGACCTCCACCCACAGCTTTTGGTGCTTCATGTCTCCTCCATCATCATGGCTTTCTTAGTTCAGTTCTGTCCCGCTCCCCCGGGCCTTTCCACTAGTTTTCTATATGCTGTGCCTGTATTGCCATCTCTTCTCACATGTCCTGCTCTCTGCTGCTGTTACATTAATTTTTTCAGTAGGGCAAGGGGTCAAACAAAGAAGAATGGTTATCTTGATTGGAGCTACAAGATATATTTTAGTAGACTAGTAATAGTTTAGTAGAGTAGAATACATATATTATGTTTATGAATTTATATTTCTTCTGAAAAACTGTTATTTCTAATCTGACTAATTATGTTATATTGGATCTTAAGTCTATGAATTTTGAATTTCTGTTTTGTTAAATTATGTGACTTGGAGGTTATTTTCTTTATCTATGTAATTTTCTATGTTTATATATAGCTTTGTACGTTTGGTAGAATCTTACGATCTTTGTTCCGACCACACATTTTACAATCTTGCAAACCCCCCCCCCCAACATCCTATGTAGAATTCCAATTTTAAAAACATTGGATGAATGAAGAAGTGTAACCAATAGGGGTGGTGGCCTAAGGTTTATTGGAAAAACATAAAGAAGTGCTTCAAGAGAAAACAGTAGTACCTCCTTGATGGCACTATAATCATGCAATAGTGTTAAAGGAGGGCTCTCAAATTCCTATTGTTTGCCTTCACCCATATTCTTATCTCCACATCCAAATAGAAAACATTGACAGTTTGTGAAGGAGATGATAGCAGTGTGCTTGATACGGCCAAGCATGAATCCTTTTTCCAGTCCACTAATCTAGGTCAGAAAAAGATGGGAGATGGCAATTGTGCATCTCCACTACAAGGCTCTCAATAAATCACCACTCCAAATCAATTTCCATTTCCAATAATGGAAGAGTTATTAGATGAGTTCAGGGGTCATATTCTTTAACTAGAATACTTTGTTAACAAGAGAATTGATTATTATGGTGAATATATTAGGAATAGGAACCAATCTATTCATTGTATTTGTATATAGTTAAACTTTCTAATTTAGGTTGCACAAATTAGAAATTAGAATTATTGTCATCAATATTTGAGAAATGAATTTGCACTATTTATGGAGGAGAATAAAATAAAATAAAAAGAATGCATCAAGCCAAAATTTCCTAACATTGTAGTACAAGTCTCTTGGACAAAACCGTAATTGTTTTAGCGCAATGTTGTTAAAATCAGGATCCTACCTAGGATCAGGAGGGAGTAAAAGATCGCAAATCATAAGATGGTAAAATAGATTGTAAGATCCTACCAAACATACAAAATTATACTTAAACATATATATAAGCATAAAAATAACATAGATAAAGAAATTAACCTCTAAATCACATTATTTAAATAAAATAAACTTCAAAGTCATAAACTTAAGATCCAATACAATACATAACTAGTCAAACAAGCATGTTTTGCAAGTCTATTAAACTCATTCCTAGCAATCTTGGAATTGGAAGCCATGAGCCCAAACACAATAGGATGGAAGATGAAGAGAGGACAAACAAAGGTGGCAGAAGAGAAGAGAGCAGCAAGAACAGAGGACCAACAAAGGTTGTAGTCTCGCAGAACAGGTACAACAACCAAGTCACATAAGAGAGGAGTAGGAACAGCACCAAGGTTGCAGAAGAGAATAGAGCAGCAACAGCACCTAGGTCGTAGAAGAGAAGAGAGCAAGAACAGCACTTGAGTCACAAAACAGAGGACAATTCACAGCAGAGGAACAAGAAGCACCAGTGCCAAGAAAAATTGTGACCTAAGTTGACGAAAAGTTGTGTCGTACAAGAATAAGGGTTCAGATGTGGAAAACCCAAAAAATTGTTGCCCAGGAAATGGGTAGTTAAAAAACCGGTAGTGAAAACCCAACCCAAAAACCTCCACTCAAACCCAAAAAGATGAGACAAAAAGATTGGATTGGATGGGATGGCCGATCTTGTGATCCAATGGAGAAAGAGAGAGATCCGACACAATCCTAACAAGTTCCGATCTTCTTTACAATCATGATCGCAGGGAGGGTGAGAGATTGCACAATCTTGGGATTAAGATTGTGATCTCCACAACACGCTTTAGCAGCACAGTCCATAGTTGCTCTTGTTCCCAAGTTCAGTTGCCAGTTTGTGCATGACCTTTTGTGGTACCTGGCTCATTACTTTGGTTCTCATGTTCTCAATTGCTCCTTATTCTCGTTTCCTTGGTTCTTCATTTCTGGTTCATGGGTTCTTTTGAATTTCTCGTTTCTACATTTTATAAGGAGTATCTTGATCATAAACTTTAGCATGCTAATCCTTATTTATACTAATAATAATCCTAACTAAATAGAAATTGTGGGATCGGGAAATATAATAATTAATCCTAAGATAATGAAAAATTAGTGAAACAAATTCTATAGGATATTCTAACATATTCCAAGATAAGATGTTAGGACCCCAAGAGATAATGAGGCAGTTAAGGTCGTTGCCCCTATAAACAGAATTTTACCTTGTGACAAGGTACACGTGAGAAGAATGGAAAGAAGAAAAATGATGTGGGTGGAGCGTGAAAATTGAGTGATAGCAATGGGTTTTGTAATTAACTGGCCAGCTGGCATGATTAGAGTAGGAGAGAGGGAGAAATACTGATTTGGTTATGGGTTAGTGGGTGCAATATATGGGTTGGGAGAGGTGCTGAGGGGGGCATCTTAAAAGAGAATAGACTTTGCATTTGGGAGAGAACTAGGTCTCTCGAATGCCTAGTGATTTTGTAATTTCTTTCTCTAAGAAATATAGACAAAAAGGGGCAAGAGCCTAATTTCATTCTTTCTGATCTTTTCTATTATTCCTCTACTAATACCAATTCCTTACAACTGGTATCAAAGCCTTCTCCCAGCTGCAAACGAGTGGTGACGCCAGCATTGCAGTGTTCCCCCGAGACTAGTCAAAGGGGCTAGTGTACAGCTGGGTGAGCGTCGAGGCTGCGAAGCATGGTGGATTGTTAGGATCCAATTGCAAGGAATGGGACTTGAGTCCCATTGGACATACGGAATTCTAATGAGGGGTTGTTTATAAGGCTTTGGGCTTGCCCACTACAATAGCTAGCTTTTGTGATGTGGTTCTCCCAAGGTTCTTATCAATTGGCATTAGAGCTAGTTTAGCTATGGAAGGCAAAGCTCTAACATGGTTTTAGTGGTGGGAAGAACAAGCTTCCATTCCTTAATAGAGGGAGTTCAAGGAAGATCTCCTCAAAAGATTTCAGTCGAGAGTGGCTAAGAATCCTTATGGGCCAGATTCCAAGTTTGAGATGTTTGCAGGAAGCAATCGTCACATCGATGCTGAGATGCTGATCAGCATATTTCTCAACAGGCTCAAGAGGGAAATTCAAGTTGGGATGAAATTTGGTGCGTTTCAAAGCTTGAATGATATAATGGATAGAGCTCTTGAGCTGGAGGAAAGGAATTGGGCATGAAGAGAGGCTGGGGTGAATCCAAGTGGTAGAGGAACAAGCTGGCCCTCTTAGGGGCCCACTCAATTTAGGTTCCAAAATTGGTCTCAGAACAGCACTGGGGTTTACCAAGAAGGTGGGCCCAAAATTAGCGTCCCTGAAAGAAGTGGGCCTAGACCAAAAGTTGGGGCAAAACTAAAGGAGAAAAACAGGTTAGTGGTGTTCGAAGGTGACTCCTATGGAACTGCAGGAAAGGCAATGTAGGGGCCTTGTTTTTGATGTGGAGATAAATGGAATCCAGAGCACAATTGCACCATGCGCCACTTCCAGATTTTAATTTTGGAAGAGAGTGAGAAGGAAGAGGAAGGAGAGAAGCAGCATCAAGAAAGACAAGAAATGTGGAATTAGCAGTGCAAGTACTACATATTGTTCAAAAAAATTGTCTTGGAGTTGGGAAAGTCAAAGGTAGTGTTAGGAGTGGACTGGTTACAGAGTTTGGGTCCATTTAGGGGTAACTACCAAGATATAACAATTGCATGGAGAGAAAATGGCTGTGAAAAGGAGATAAAAGGAGTCCCAGCCCTCTCCAGGTCTAGATCTTCCTGGAGGACAGCATTGAAAGCATTACAGGCTGAAGGAGAAGGGTACCTAGTGACCCCAATAACAAAAGGGTATGGGAAGGAGGGTTGTTCAGAGGTCTCAGCGGGAGTTCAGAACCTATTGGAAGAATTCAAAGATTTTTTAGTGGCCAAATAGTTTACCGCCACAGAAGGAGAAAGACCATGCGATTGTCCTTAAGGAAGTTGTGGAAATTCCTCATCTAAGACCCTACAAGTATCCTCATTATCATTAAAAAAAAATAAAAATATTGAGAAGATTATAAACGAAATGTTGCAATCAGGAATTATCAAACCAAGTCCCTTCTCTAGTCTTGTTATATAGTGAAAAAGAAAGATGGGGGTGGAGATTTTGTGTAGATTATGTGGCTTTAAAGAGAGTTACTATACCTGATAAATTTTCTCATCTAAGACCCTACAAGTATCCTCATTATCAAAAAAAAATGAGATAGAGAAGATTATAAATGAAATGTTACAGTCCAGAATTATTAGACCAAGTACAAGTCCTTTCTCTAGTCCTGTTGTATTGGTGAAAAAGAAAGCTCGGGGTGGAGATTTTGTGTAGATTCTGTGGCTTTAAACAGAGTTACTATACTTGATAAATTTCCCATCCCTATCATGGTGAGTCGCTAGACGAATTAGGGGATCCTAGAGTCTTTTCCAAATTGGATTTGAAATTTGGTTGTCACATATTAGAATGAGAAGTGGGATACCCAAAAAACAGCATTTAAGACTCATGAGGGGCATTATGAGTTCCTTGTCATGCCTTTTGGACTCACTAATGCTCCCTTCACTTTTCAGGCTCTCATGAGCAAGATGCTGAGGCCTTTCCTCAAGAGGTTTGTCTTGGTGTTTTTTATGACATCCTCATTTACAGCCGAGAACCACAAGACCCATCTTCAGCAAACTTTTGAGGTGTTGAGAGAGCCAACAAGTTATATGTCAACGTGAGTTCTTTTGAACAAGATTGGCTTGAGTACTTGTGTCATATAATATCAAGAGATGGTTTTGCAGCAGAGGTTGCCTTGGGTTAATGGGATATTGTAGGAAGTTTGTAGAGAATTATTAGAAGATAGCTTGGCCTTTAAATAAGTAATTGAAGGATAATTTTCCTTGGGGAAAGGAGGCCCAATTAGCTATTGAAAAGCTTAAACAAGCCATGACCAACTTACCAGTATTAGCTGTTCCCTACTTTAACAAGCCATTTGCAATAGAGGCAGATGCTTCGAGGAAAGGGGAATAGAGCAATCTTGATGCAAGAAGGGAGATCAATAGCTTATATGAGCCAAGTCCTTACGGAGAGGGCCCAAAATAAGTCAGTTTTTGAGGAGGAGTTAATGGCTATTGTACTCGCTGTCCAAAAAAGGTTAAATTATCTTTTTGGGGCAGCAGTTCATTGTGCATACAGATCAATGATATTTGGAATATTTGCTGGATCAGAGAGTTGTGGGGATGGAGCAGCAGAAATGGTTAACAAAACATCTTGGTTTTGATTTAATCATCAAATATAAAGCTGGGACAGAAAATAGAGTAGCCGATGCTCTTTCCAAGAAGCTGCAGTATGCAGCAGTTTTGACCATTTCTGTAGGAAATTGGGCAGATTTGAAGACAAGAGGTTCAACAAGACACTCAATTGAGAGGCATAACCCAAGACCTGCTACAAGAGGCTGAATCTCGGGGGTTTGAGCTCAAGAAGGGTAGGTGGTAGTACTATAAGGGAAGACTAGTTATAACCAAAAATTCCACTAAAATACCTCAAATTCTACAGGTCATTCAGGATTTTGTAGCACCTACAAGAGAATTGCGGGCTTGTTTTATTGGGGGGGGGGGTTGGGGAATGAAGGGACACATACAACAATATATTAACGAATGTGATGTTTGTCAAAGAAACAGGGCTAGGACTCTGTCTCCTGCTGGGTTGCTGCACCCACTTCCCATTCCATGTAAAATACATGGACTGATGTAGCAATGGACTTCATTGAAGGTTTACCTAAGGCTTTGGGAGTAATCAGAGTGAAGAATACTAAGACCTATGTGACACTCTGCATTATAAAATATATAAATAAGATCACCTCAGCACATAAGCTTCACAACTGAAAAACTACGCCGTGTGCAAGTGTAAATAATTCTTTTCCAAATTCACTTCCATCACAAAACAACATAAAAGATTCTAATAATGAAGGGTTTAACTGTATATCCCTACCTTAATAAGAAAAAAAAAAGTACAGTCACAGTATACCAGAATTAAAATTCAAAGCATACCAACTAAAATCTTTTCCAAAACATTGACCAATTAGACAGGCAAAAGTAATAGAATAGACAAGTAAAAAATAATGCAACCAATAAAGAGATGTATACCTCCAAGGATTAGTAAAAAATGGGCATAGCAGCATCAATACTTATATACTCTCCCGCACAAGAAGTACAACACATAAACATCATATATTAAGCAGTTCCAACTACCAAACTAGCAATAATCGGTTGCAAGTATACCTAGCCTCACTAATCACAATACCACTGTAACTTCTAAAAGAAATTAAGAGCGAGAGCTTAAAAGATCTCAACCATCAGGTGAGGGCGATCCTTCAACAGGTGATCGACGCCGATAATTCCTATTAGCTGCATCACAAGAAGGTTTGCGAAATGCGTTTTTGGTATCATAATTGCCATGAGGCGGAGACGGTAAGTTTGAATCCATCATGCCAAGCCTGTAATTGCACTAACACAATCAGTCTAATATAATTATAATGCAAATTATCTCAGCGAATGCCAAAATGAAAAACTAAATATAATTAAAACATCCACATATTCAGCACCGCTTCAAATTTTTTAAAAAACAATAATTAAGATGAAAAAACAAATCGCTTCAGTTCTCTCGTTTAAATCGAACGGAGGAAAAATAAAAAAAAGATTCAAATACTACATGTATTATTAAAATGATTCAAACGATGCATACATCAAATTTCATGCTATAAGATGCCCTACTGAAAATCGGAAAAGAGAAGCAGAAGAAAGAGAGGTAACCGGACGGCCAGGACGAGGTTACCTAAATTTCAAACGGAAGATGATCGATTCATTGGGTTACTGTGATTTTGGCACTTGTAATTGCAGGTAGAAGGAATAGGTGCGAAAGAATACACGAAACCCTTGGTTCTGCGACGTGTCGTTTCAGTTGCAGCGTGGCGTCGCGGGCCTTAAAAGAGAAATCGAGTAGCAGAGCCGAGTTGCGTGTAAATATTTTTTTCCCAAAAAATTAAAAAAAAATACTTTTCTTGTTTTTCAACCCGTGCTAAGCTGTGTAAAAATCATAATTTTTTGTTAAAAAAATATATTTATTATATTAAAATTATATAAACCTGTTAAATATTTTTTTTTAAATTATCTTGAATAATTAAAATTAACACTGTAAGTTATTATTGATATTTTAAATTTTTAAATTTTTATGCAATTGTTTATAGTCATAACTATAATTAAAAAAAATATATTACGATTGACCTAAATTATTTTTATTAATTTTTTATATAATACAGCACGTGATTATAAATTATTATTATTTATAATTTAAAATAAAAATATTACATATAACTTTTTGTTTTAGACAACATATAAAAATTAAAAAATTCAAAACAATTTTTTTAAAATTCTAGATAAATTTAAGTAATAAATTAGTTAAATATTTATTTAATATATTTTTATATAAAATATTTATATATTAATTAGACCATCAAAATTATTTGCATAAGATTAAAAATTATTTTGATAAATTATATAAAAAAATTACTAAATAAACTACATAAAATTAATATTTTTATCCTTCAACTTAATCATCAAATTTAATTTTGTCTTCTAAATTTATTTTGATTCATTTTTATTCTCTAACATTTTAAAAAGTTTTAAATAAGTTTTTTTTAACAATATTAATTTTATTAATATTTTTTTATTTTTTTATTTTTTCTTTTATGTATATTATTTTACATTATTCATCGTTTTCCTTTTCAAGTTTATAAATAATCAATTTTATGTGGTCTCATTCTAAACTAATAAAATAAAAATTTAAAAATAAAAAATTAAAAATGATGATTAGATTATGTATAAGATTAAGATAGTAGATAAAAATTAATTTAAAAAAATTTAAATTTTAAAAATATAGATTTTTTGGAATTTTAAATGAGTGGTTAGTGGATAAAAAGTGTAACACTCTCTTTTTTGTTTATTTATTAATTGGCAAACTGTTTGATATTACATAGTGTTGGAGTGTGTTTGAGAATGATTTTTGATGTTTTGATAGAAGTACGGTGCAAGGAGTCTCGCTCAAGCGAGATGAGTCGTTTAGGTGATGACTCACAGGAAAAATAGCCAACTCTATGGACATCTTCTGACTCAGACGAGAATAGCAAAAAAAGCTTGGGGAACCACTATCTAGTATTCTTGTCCATATGAGAAAGGGCTCGCTTAAGTGAGAGCTTGCTCGCTCAAGCGAGAGCGCATAAGAATTCAAGGGTATTTAAGGAATTCTATCCCATAAACTTGCATTACAGTCCAAGAAACATTTCCTAACTTTTTTCTCTGAACTTTATCTTCCTTTCTCCTAAAGAAAAACCTCTAAACTCTGAAATTACTCAGAACCCGAGTTTAAATATCAACTCTACAAAATCGTTGGTAAGTATCTCAAGCTTAACTCTTCATTCTTACCTATATTTTCTCTGTTTTCTCTCTTTTCAAGGAGTGCTCTTCTCTGTAATAGGTAAGAAGATCTTAGCCTATTGGACCAACTTTTCTAAACTCCATCACTAAACTATATATTTGAGGTAAGGAAAGCTCTATTCCATTACTGATAACATGTTATGTTGTGCTCATGTGGATGTGGTTGCGTGTTTCTTTTTTGTGAATATATGTTTGAATGAACTTGTTGATAAAATGTGTTTTCTTATTCTTATTGACTTGGAATGACACGTGTATTGAAAATATATGTGTATATGTATATAATAGACTAGAATAAAATAGAAAGAGAACAATATGAATAACATGTTGGTATAAAGTAATAAGCAAGGCTATAATAAATAATGAAAAGAGTATAGCCCTGATGAAAATATGAAAAAGGAGATGGAATGAGAAAGGAAAGATGATAAGAATAAATGTAGATAGTTCAGAGATATACTAAGAGTGTAGAAGATAGAGGCAATTTTAAAAAACTTAGAGAAATGAGGGTGGTAGATATTCTTCTTGAATTGCGCATATTTACATTTAAAATGACAATAAAATATGATGTACCTTTTGATTACCCTAGTAGTAGTAAGATCTACCATACTCTATGCTTGTACATATACCGAGGTTTGGTCAGACCGCCAAATGCGTAGAACTATGTATATACTTTTTTGGATCATGATAAGCATGGGAGACCAAGCTATTTTACCGCAGAGTGAATCACGAGTACTAAAGTGGTGGCTAATGTGGGTGATCTTAGTGAAGACAATAACATATTCCTAGCGGAACTAGCAGAGATAGAGGGATGGTTTGAGATAATAACTAAGATCATATTTAGTCTTTTGGATTAGATATACTATTCATTAGGACTTAGTGTACTTTGTATTTTGTAAATGGTATCGATGAGGCCTAATGCATTTTGAAATTATATTTGGTAATTATTAAACTCTTGTATATTCATGAGACCAATATAAATATATGTTATTCCAGCTATTACCTAAATTTATTTATTTCCATTGCTTCCGTAGTGAAAAAATTTATAAGTTCGAATAATTTACAAGGAAGTTTTACATTTCAACACCTTACATTTTGAATACAAACGAATTTTTATTTAATTTCCTCTTTTCAATGCAAAATTATTTCATAAACAAGGATGTTACAAAAAGTGATTTGAAAAAAATTCATAAATGGTGAATGATACTAGGTAGATTTTTTAAGAGAATAGATTAGATAATGTAGAATTGCAGTCACTGAAAAATAAGAGATGAAGAGACGATAGAATCTCTTTTAAAAAAAATAAATATAATATTAAATAAAAATGAAGAAGAGCTATCATTAAGGTGGCATGTACTCTCCAAAAAAAAAAGGGAGAAAGAAATGAGAGAGAAAGAGAAAGTCAAAGAAAGGAGAAACTATGAAAATAATTTTTTATTATCAAAGTACACATTCTTAAAAAATACCATTAGTGGAAATGAGAAAGAAAAAACAACACAATTTAAAACTTAGAAAAGCTAACAAAAAGAAGAAATAGAAAGAAAAGGTTAAAGAACTTGCTTAATACTGGAAAATAGTTTAAAATTTATGCAAAGGCCAAGTGATATTAATAGAGTGGTGAATTCACCCTTAATATCGTTTAGATCGTGAATATTTATTGAGTAGTCATGTGCTAACTTAAATCATGTATAAGAGTAAATTTATTTTTAAAATAAGATAAGTGATTTCTTAAACAATAATTTTCTCTTAATTTAAATTTAATCTTTCAAAAATATAAAATATTATTTTTCATCATTCAAATTAGATATTTAAAAAATTCATTCTTTCAAAAAATTAAAATAAAAGACTAAAGAAAAACATCTCTTTTCAAATAATATTAATATCTTCAAAATAAAAAAAAAATATTTCATGAGTGTTTTAAATAAACATAATATGCAAATTTTTAGGAATCAACTATTTTAAAAAATTTAAAATTAATCTTTCTAAGAGAAAATAAAAAAAAACTTTTAAAACTTATTCAAACCTAATTTTAGAAACAACAAAATAGTTTTATTTTTCTATGCACCCATCAAGTTCAATTTTTTTTTTTTTGTAATTTTTTCTATTTCTAAAACTTCAAAAGACAATTTTTTTTTATATTTTCTCTATTTAATTTTAAATTTAAAAAGACTCATTTTTTTCCTTCTAAAAAATAAAAATGAAACAAATATTTTCTTAGTTTCATTAAAAAATAAAGTATCAAAACAAGGTTTTTTAAAATTTATCTTTTTATCCAAAAACAAAAAAAATTATAAATAATTCATTTCTTTAACTCAAATTAAAAAATATGTTATTTCTAAAATTGTGTTTCTTTATTTAAAAAATATAAAAATTAAAATCTCTTGTAAATTATAAAATATAGAAATGAAACTAAAAAAATATTAATAAATATAAAAATAGCAAATAAATGAATTATTTTCTTTTAGAGTGGAAAAAATATTTCTAAAATTAAAATCTTTTGTGCAATCAATTAAGTAACTATTTTATTTAATAGATATCATAGGGTGCTAATACATGTTTTACGTGTAACTTATTTTTTCTCGGCGTAGTTATCAGTCATCTTGTTATGACCTCATTGCAACAAGGTTGATCTACTATTTATCCTTTTTTTTTTTAATCTTGTAACTTTCTATTTAGTGCAACAAACACATGGTTCTTACTTAATATTTCATTTTCTAGCCAAAACTTTTTCTAGAATGATATTTTTTAAGCAATTGATTGGATCTTTTCACCTCTCTCTTTCTCTCATAAATAACAAAAAATTGCAAAATCTCTCACTTTGCATCTCCTTCACCAATGAGAAAAATGTAAACTTTAAACAACAAAATCCTACCCTTTATCCCAAACAAACAAACAAAATAAAATCCAAAAACCATATTTACTAATTCCTACAAAAATCTCACCATTATTCTCCTACCAAATTCACAAGAAATTACTTAAATAAAACACAAACTTTCTTCAATTTTAGTTTTATCTTTTTTCTGAATATCAATGACAATCAATTAAAGGATTTTTTTGCCTAAATCTTTTTCTATCTTCACGAAGTTGAGGAAGAAAGCGAAATTAGAAATTTGAGGGAAAAAAATTGATGAATAGTGCATGAATATGAGAAGATGATGATGAATAGTAAAAATAGTATATATAGTAGAAAAAGACAAAAAAATATTAACAGAATTAACATTGTTAATAAAAAATGACTTATTTAAAATATTATGAAAAGTTAAAGGATAAAAATGAATAAAAATAAAGTTGATGGATAAAATTAAATTTGATCCTTTAAGTTGGAGGATAAAAATACTAATGTTACCAATAAACTAAAAAAAACTTATCAAAATAATAAATTATTTATATAAACTATTTAGCAAATGCATCATATATGAACATTTTAAAAGAAATAGATATTTTTATACAAATAAGTTTAAATTATTTGATAATGTTTTTTCTTATTTTAAAATTTGGAAATTTTATCATCATTAAATTATATAATTTA